CACCATCCGCTCCATCCGCACCATCCGCTCCATCCGCACCATCCGCTTCATCCGCACCATCTGCTCCATGCGCTCCATCCGCCCCATCCAATCCATCCTCTCCATCCGCACCATCCGCTTCATCCGCGCCATCTGCTCCATGCGCTCCATCCGCTCCATCGTGCAATGTCGTTTTTCTGGCACTTCTTCAGGAAACCGCAGCCATTTCCAAGGAGGATAACCGCTCTCAAGAGTGTCATTCGAAACTCCCAGGCTGGAAGCGCCAGAACCACCTTAACGTCTAATTCTTTCTGATGCCTTAGACTGGCGGTCCGAACTCCCAACCTTGCAATGTTTGTTGAAATTTTCAATGTTTCTAAAGTAGAAGGGTCTATGGAGGGTTCTTTGTCGCCCGTGACTCAGCGTGACTTAGTGACTTACATTGGAAAGGACACTGGATTCGTTCGTTTTTTGACTTTTCGACTTTTTCGGATTTTTCGACTTTTCGGAATTTGTGACTTTTTGATTGGGTCCGAGACAAAATGAACTTTTCAACTTTTCGGATGTTTTTCTTTTCCTTTTCGAATGTGTCCGAAAGCCAAAATCAATTTTTTGAGCTTTCGACTTTTCGCGCTCCCAACGGACATTTTCATTTTCGAATCAGGAACTAGATTTTACTAACGCTGTGACCTGAAAGGTCTTGGTCGGTACGTGGGATTGACTGCTTAAGCGCAAGGTTTACACCGTTCTCACCGGTAGACCAGCGTGCCGGTAGAAAAGGTTGAAGTAGCTTGGGCTGCTGCTTGCAGCTGTCAATTGTATATGTGCCATCTTCGTACTCTAACTCAGAGACCCAATCCCTCCGCCCCAGTTTCTTGCGTTTTTCAACGCGTCAGCCTTGAGGAGGTTGTTGTTCTGTCCAACGATCGAGTGCACGCCCGCAGCGCTGGTCCTCTGGCGCTCGAGCGCACGCCGAGCGTCACGTGTGAAAGGCTGCCAGAGGCACCGCAAGCGACGCAGAAAGCGCAGGTGGCGCAAGTGGCGCAGGCGGCGCAAGCGGCGCAAACGGCGCAGGCGGCGCAGGCGCCGCAGGCGGTGCAGGCGGCGCAAACGGCGCAAGCGGCGCAGGCGGCGCAAACGGCGCCAGCGGCGCAAGCGGCGCAGACAGCGCAGACGGCGCAGGCGGCGCAGAAGATGCAATCGGCGCAAGCGGCGCAAACGGCGCAAGTGGCGCAGGCGGCGCAGGTGGCGCAAGCGGCGCAACCACATGCGCAGACACGCTTTCCGCTCGCAGTGTTGATTTGTCCATTCCAATGGAACCAGACCGATGGAACAAGAAGCACCAACATTGCAACAAACACCAGACATCTTCACATCACGCAGACATCTTCACATTACTTTTTTTCTGCTCGGGTCCGACGAGTCCGAAGGTGTTGGGCAGCGGAACTACCACTACTTCTTCGGTTTCATCTCCTGTGTTTTGGTCTTGGCCTTGATGGTCCTGCCAGCCTCCTGGCGTCACACCGACGCGCGCGGTTGGACTCCGCAACGGGGGTACCAGCACCCCATGTGAAGCACTCCAAACATGGGTGGGAAGGGGGATGCAATCACAACTGTATATACTGTATATGCCTTGATCAGCTGCAGCTGCTGCGTTCTGTTTGTTTTCTGGATGTGCTGCACCGTGCTTTGTTCCTCTATCAAGAGATAGGCCAACCAGGCCTGGGGAGGTGGTGTGCGGAGGAGCGCCTCCCATTCCGGCTCCGGGAATGTTGTTGGAACGCCTTGCTGGACCTTGCGTCAGAACCACTTCTGTTTATATACATTGGATACACTGTGGATGACTCCTAGGCGCAGTGCAGCTCATAGAAAATGTGCTATCCAGACGCAATGGCAAGGTGGCAAGTGTTGGAGCTCGGTGAGCCCAAATGAATCATGAAGCGAAATGGCTTGCGACTGGCCGTTGCAATCGTAATTGCCAGCCGCCAAACGATGGAACAAAAACATGTTCCATGCAAGGAAAATGAAGACCTTATTGAAAAGATTCAATCGTTTTCCACATTAGGAGCAAGGACGCTACTAGGAGCTCCGGGCAATACTACTAGGAGCAAATCCGCGCAATGCGGCGCCACGAGCCCCCCGGCACAGGTTCGGGCCACCAAAACATTGCGACTTGCAGTCAGATCCAGACACTGAGGTAGTAGAACTGCATTTGGCTTGGCTTGTTTTAGGACCGGAACACCCTTGCCAGTCATTTTATAGAGGCTTTATCTCGTGTCACACATTCTATAGAGGCACCGCCCTTTTCTGCTTGCGCCAAATACATGTGCGGAACCTAAGGCATAGTAAGTAATGTGTGATGACATATCTCTAACTTTCTACCATTTCTTGATTTGTTTCTATACGTTATCTCCAGCCCGTATTAGTACAAGGAAGCAAAACATCATTAGTCATCATTGACGCATGTTGAGAGGATCAGCTGACTGGATGTTATGTCCTTTGCGCAGCCGTCCCAGGGTCGCCAATCGCTGCAGCTCACGAACGCTCCGTGTCGATCAATGCTGTATTTATATGTGGGAACTCAGCCTAAAGGTGTTTGGAACAGAACATGCCCGGACCCGGAGCGTGAACACCAAAAACCTATTTTTTCCGGACGGTCAACATAATTGATGTCCATTTGGTTGTATGTCTATGTGCATATGTACGTGCATCTATATTTTACTATACACACACACTCTCTCTCTTTATGTATATATGTGTGTGCGCGTGTGTTTGCTTTGTTAGGCTTGTTGACATGGCAGCAGCGCAAACCCCCATGCAGCAGACTGGTTTAAGTTTTTTGAGGCACTGGCCTTGCATTTGCTGAATCCACGGCAAGAGCGGGCCATCAGAAATGCTACTTGGATTGGTTGACTCTGCCTGATATTGTTAGGACACGGGAACAACTCGAAAGATGCGTCCTGCACAGAACTCGGCTAAAGTATGTAAATGGTTCTGATTCCACCAATTTGATCTGAATCACGTTCTTAACTCCGTCCGCATGTGCATGCTCATTGCAACCACCGGCGTGCAGAGTTGAACCCATGCTAAATGCATCAGAGGGTTTTCCGAACTTAACTCATTGGCCTACACCCTGGAAGACTAACATGGAACCTGAAAACCCCTGGTTGGTAGAGGAAAATCGTCTTCCATGGGACCATTGTCAGGGTCTATGTTAGTTTTCGGGAGTGTAATGACTCGTTCGACTGCCCGTGTGGGCCAGGCAGCAAAGATTGACCAACGGATGTCCTTCTTTTTCTATTTCCTTATTGGCGTGGGGGTGCCTGCCTCAGCAGAGTGCTTATGGTCACCCTTCGGCTTCAGTTTGTGATAACTTTTGGCACATGTGCCTGAGGTGCTCGTAGCCTTTGCTGCCTTCTTATCCTTACTGCTGTGGGCATACCATTTGTTCCTCATTGTGCCTGAATGCAATATGATGTGCTCATTCAAGGTCATGATAAAGGTGCAGGTGGGTGGCGGTCCTCCAATACTTAGGTGACAAAGCAGACGACCAAGGAATTTCGCCGAGGCACACGGCAAGATGTGGTCACAATACAAGCTGTTGGGCACAAGGATGACACAGTTATGTCATAAATTGCATTAATTGCTACCATCCATGAACTTAATGCCCCAAATCATGGGAACTTAGCATGCATCGTTAGTGTTTGCATGTAAGCTTTCAGAGACAGACTCAGCGATAAGTATAATTTAGTAATTAGACTTTCTGACCCGATGTCCAGGCCTCGCAAACATCGACGAAGAGCCGACGCTTTGCGCGGCGCGCGGGCCGCAGCTCTTCGATCCTTGGGCATGGATCGACCTGAAAGACATGAGCTCTGCTCGGAGAAGGCTCTAAGATCCAAAGCTGGCCAATGAGGAGGCCCTGAAGCTGCTCGAAAGCGTTTTGGACATGTGGTCGATTGAATGATTGGCGCTGGTTGTTTTTGTCGTCAGTTCGAATTTTGAAGAGAAGATGTGCCAACAACTGACGATACTTTCTTGTGGCATGTGGGCTTTCTTCTGTGTGCCTTTGAGTCAAGACACTTGCAAGGCCGACTCGCGGAGCTCAGCTTGCTAGCTCGATATTTTTCTTAGCTTGGCAGGAACTCTTTCAGTGGCAGCACGTGGCTTTATCATACTTTATAGTCTTCATACTTCTCTTGGACCGTTTGAAGGTCCAATACTGTTCAGTCTCTTGTCCCATGCAAGCACGGCTGGTGCCTGCAAAAAATGTCCTGATCTGTGACCGCGAAGATTTGGCATGGACAGAGAGCGGAGGTTGCGAGATGTCACTGGAGTGGCGTACTTTTGTTCAGCTTGAAGTAACATATTCTTGACTCAGATGGGTATATACATATATAGTTTTACTTTATTTTCTTGTTCCTCTCGCTATGAGTCATGCTTGGTGCGTGCATAGTCTCTAGGCGCTAGTACTCCACGAAATTCCTCAGCCCAGGCAGCACAAAGAGCCTCCTTTGTTGTTGCTACTCGGGGTGAGCGTGGATCCTTGCTGATGGTCAGGCACCGAAGCAGACAAGTGACAAGAGGGCAAATTAAAATTGGCCCCTGTACTGATCCTGTTTAGTGTAAGTGACTTGCACCGACTGAAGGAAGAACCGGTCCAGAATCGTCCCTACTTGTACCGCCTTTTGGCGGTACACGCATCCTACAAATAGAGCTTCCACAGAAAGCCGCAACCCACCAGAACATCTCTTTAAGGGACAACGCTGCGAAGACATTGTGCAGGAAAAGCTTCGTCGGAGACAAGTGCAACTTGGGCGCAGAGGACAGCATGACACTCGTAGAGCAGGGTAGCAAGGTCACATTGAACACATTTGCAAACTACAAAAGTTGGACCGGAGGATGTACATAGATGTTGCAGATTTGTTCTGTACTGGTGTAAGCTGTCAATAGTTCCAGGAGCTTGCCTCATTGGGCGTCCCGGTTGTTCCACCCTCAGTGCCAAGAAGGAGGTGACACACACACACGAGCAACAGGCAAAACATGGCTGGAAGGGCGGTTTATGTGAACATTGTACTTAAGATTTGCTTTTGAAAGCCCACCCCCGAAAACGAAGACGGAAAGTGAGTGCGCAAAGGCCTTGCAAAACAAGCCAAGCAAACTCTCAAACGAAGCTTTAGACATGTTATGATATGTTGATATGTTTTCAGTTTTCCTTATATAGGTTTTGCCAATCTCCCTCTCTTTCATGTTTGTCATGGGGGAATCGCAGGATTTTTGCCACCTTCAACATCCTCCTCTATCACTCACTCCATCCTAGTCTCAGGTGTGTTGTGCCGGCTCCTTCGATGAATTCTACACCTTGGCCTGTGACGTTAGTGCCTCAGCATGCCTCACCTGTGGCAGTGGCAAGGAGGGGCGCAGCCCGAGGCATGGCCGTTGCCTGCATCCTTCAAGGCCTAGAGTGACATGTGGGTCGCGCAGGGTTGCGTTTCTTTTTTTGTTGTGAGGGAGGGGGTCGCTGTCAGATATGGGTTTCAACCTGAGATTCTTGATCCATAATACTGATCTGGAAGCTTTTCCTTCACCTGTCATGGCGATGAGCTGACAACTTCTTGTGGCCAGGGAAGCGTCAACAGCATTGGCGCCGGAGATGTTTTTATCGCAGGCACTGGAAGCTGAGTTCAGGTTAGATTGGCTGGCATTGTTTTGCGCCGTGCTCGACTGTCTGCTTGCCAGAGAGACGAGCACAATTCGAAGGGGCTTTTTGAACATGGGCTCGCAAGCTCACAGCTAGAACATGGGAAGAATCTGTCAGCAAGCAGGAGCAATGCCCAGGCATACTCAGACACAATGTAGAAAGGGAGCTGATTCAAAAGAAGGCACCAATGAGCGCAGAACACTTGACACTTGATCATGAAGCATCACATGTGGACTCTCCCCTTCTTCTTGCTGGCTTTGGTGCAGAGCAAGGACAGCAGCGACCTACACTGCTGTTTTGCACCTCGGGAAAGGCCAGTGGTCTTGGCCTGCGATCAATACGAGAACGATCTGATCACCCAGGTCCCTTTCGCATATTTTGGTGCCGTGCCTTTTGACCAGCGGGTGTGTGGGGCCGATGCAGATGATGGGCGAAAAAACTTCACAGGTGTCCACATCCAGCGACATTTGCAGAGCACCTGTGCCGGACAACGCAGTTGTGAGGTGCAGTGGTCCGACTTTGAACACCTTTGTGAAAGCTGCACAGAGCTGCTCGTTCGGTGGATTTGCAAGTCTGATGCAGAAAGGCCAAGTGTTCCGTTGACATCGGCCTCCTTTGGACCATTGCGTGCTAGTGGCAATCAGCTATTGGATTCTGAAGGCCTGCCAGCTGTGTGATTTGCAAAACAAACGGCCTGCATTCAAACGGCACCGAGACATCTTTGTGTCGAGATTTCGCCCCAAACGTGCCCAAACTCTCTTCGATGCATGGAACCTTCCCAGGAAACCCAGTGCGGCTTCACGGGGTCAACTGGCCTGGTATGCACATCACGCATGTGCCAAGTGGTTTGGACCGCACTCCCTTAGAGTCCTTAGTGCTGCGCATCAAATCGCTGGGCTTCAACATGGTTCGCCTGACCTGGGATGTGAACACCGTGAGGCTGGGCTCGGTTATGATTGGCCCACAGTTTGTAGAACATATAGAACAGCCTTAGGTTGCTTGGGGATGGTTGTAGGCGTGCGAGAGAGAGAGAGAGAGAGAGACAGTGAGTGAGTGAGTGAGCGAGTGAGGGAGTGAGCTAGTGAGTGAGTGAGAGTGAGCAAGGCGCTGTAGGCTGTGAGTTTCAATGGTTGCACGAGTTCTTTTTGAAGGTTCTTTTTGAAGGTACGTCTGGTATTTTTAAGTTTTGCGAGTCTTGCCTTGCAAGTCTCCCAAGAGTGCCTGGTGATAGGTCGAACCCTGTGGTCTCGAAGCGCTTAGTGGCCGCCAACCCTCGGCTCATTGGCAAGCGTGCCTTAGATGTCATGGAAGAGGTTTTCAAGTCCTTTGAAGCGGTTGGCCTTCACGTGTGGCTGGACTGGTGATGAAAGGGGCTTCAAAAGAGTCCCAAATCAATGAAGTCCAGGAAAAGGATTCCACTCCCTGTTGGCTGTAGCCATTTGTCAAAGAGCAAATAAGTGATTTTGTTGGGGGAATTGATGTGCTCAACCCGGGCTTTTTAAGATACTCACGTATGCTAAGTACAGCAGTTTTGAGTTGCAGGCAGGCCGACGAATACAGACACGTTTCGCAAGCTGCTTCTCAGTGATTTGCATCGCCTGCAGCAGGACAACCACATGTTGGACACTGACTGGTGCTGCAATGATGATGATTGCAACGGCCTGTGGTTCAACGCTCACCACACTGAGGAGGATTGGTTGGATGCCTGGCGCAGGGTCGCTGAGCTCAGCCGTCCATACAAGGCCGCTTGTGATTTTGACGGAGAAGTCAGAAGATAGTTGAGAAGGAAGACCTAGCTTGAACAAGTCCTTGTCTAACGTTTCATCATCCCGGGCTCGTGTCAGCAGTTGCAGCATGCATATTATTACTAGTTAAATTATGGACTGTAGTATGCTGGAGTGATCTAAGATCTAAAGTATATGCTGTGGTCCCGGGCAATCGCTATCAAAGATTGTCAGACTGCAGAACATGCCGAGCTTGTGCAAGTCTCAAAGAATTTGCTGTTGCTGATCTCTGTGCATTTTGCATGTGTTTGGATCGGCTGGCCCACATCGGTTTGTTGGTTCGCGCAAAATCATCGGGGTGGATGGGAAAGCTCAGGTGGTCGTGGCAGCTGGCCTCAAGAATGAGATTCGTGCCATGACCACCGGGAAGAGCTGGGGATCTGGTGCCTTTTGCAATGCAAGTTTCTTTGATCGTGGACGCTCTGTCAGGTCTTGAGCAATTTTTCTATATAGATTTGTGGGTTTTCGACTGCCAGCTTGATCACGACTAATGACATCTCATGGCATCACGCGTCAGGACACCTGGAAAACATCGGCAACTTCACTGCTGCAACTTGGTCCTCAGGGCCAGCATCCTTGCAGTGGCGCACGGCGGCCGAGCGCGCAGGCCGTATGATCTTGGAGGCGATCCAGATGTTGGTGGACGTAGCAAAGGAGCTTATCAAAGGTCATATAGGTATTCATAGGTTGTCCATATCGTGTTGTGACCAGTGCAGCACACACCCCAGAAAGAGCGCGCTGCCAAGTGGCTATTTATTTTACGGCATATACTTTACAGTGCCTTTGACATGTCTTGGAGGTCTCAAGGATGCTCACAGGCAACTCTAGCCTATAGACCTATATACTATACTCTTGAAAGAAACTTGACCAAGTGTAACTTGAAGAAAGCCTGAACGCCTCTCACCTCCATTTACCCAAATGAATAATGAACACCTCACAAAGGCGTCCTGTCCAACATGTGGAAACCTTAGCCACATGACCATATGTCAACTTTGTGATTCCATTTTGACCCACCCAAACCGAAACCTGTTTTCCTTTTCTTTGTTGTTCCATTTGAGACGCAGGAGCGCATAGGCTGTTCAACCTTCCGATTCCAGGCTTTCCTGGAGACAGAATTGCAATATCGAGTAGGTGTGAATAGCTTTGGTAGTTTCCTGAGTTTTCCTGCTTGCAGTTTTAGCAAGCAGCTGCTTGCTTTGAGACGTTTCCTCCAGACTAGCTAGGCTCACGAATCGTGCGACATGGATGCAGTGGATATATATATACAGTACATGAAGATCCACAGAGCCTGGAGACACCGAGGTTTCAGATTATGTGTGCAAGCAAGTGTGTGATGATACAAAGGGCCCCAGCCTCCACAAGAGTCGGATTTTGCTTTGTAGGAGACAGGGTTTCCAAGTTCTGCGCAGAATGTATATTTACATGGAGTATTGAGTATATCTAGCAACTTCTGTTGGACGATGTGGGCTCCCTCGCTGCTTGAACGCCAGGTGAATCCCAATCTGTTGATTTCGGTCGGAGGCCTCGACTACTCCTCTGACCTACGTGAATTCAAAGAGTTGCCCAACCTTCCAAAGGAGAAGTTGGTTTTGGAAGCACACTCCTACTCCTGGCAAACTGTTACCAAGGTTGTTGATGTGGCATTACCTGGGCAGTTTGTTGGACCCGAGCCAGGGCAAAGTTCGCCAGCGAACAAAAGTCAAGCCGTGCAGACGTGCAACACTCTCGGCGATATGTGCGGCGGGGTTACATGCACTGGGATGGATCACTGCTATGCCCGGAAGGGTCTGCAGGATGGAGAGCCGCTGCGTGGCGCTATTCCTGCGAAAGGGCACTTCAGTCAAATCAAACGTGTCTCAATTGGATTTAACTAATAACTAGTCTAATTTATAGGTGAGTTATTTTTGATGACATTGGATTGGGTTTAGGTTCCCCTTTACCATTTTGAACTGATTATATTCGTTCTTTGGGGAGTGCAGCATCCTTGGAACGAATGTTCTTACCAGCCGCATGCTGCCTGTTTTGAGGCTTCAAGAGTGACCGGAGCGACTTTGCGGAACGAACTGACGCCTGGTGGGGCTTCCTGGTGAAACAAGACTTGGTGCCAGTGGTCTTGACGGAATTTGGGATGGCACAGGAGTGCAGCAAGTGTCCATATTCCGGCACATTCATGAGTGCGCCGGCTTTTTGCCAAATGTTTAAAGTACTCCTGGTCCTAGCAACCTATGTTCCACGTGCGACCGTGCGTCCCCCTGGAGGATTGGCACAATGATCCGACTGCCAGCTTGTGGTTCACGCAGCTCTCTGAATACATGGCTGGTGCAAAAGATGGAGGCCTTCAAGCCCACAAACCTAGTTGAAACTTCGAAGTCTTGAGATTTCGATGGACCCTCTAGATCCAAAGAGACCTTCTCACTGTCCCATACTTTCCCATCTCCCCAAAAGCTTACAGGTCGCTCCTTTCCCACGGACGTCATGGCCTCCCTCTTTGCAGGACTTGATTGGATGTATTGGTCTTTGATCGGCGAGCAGGAGGGCGGCACCTCCCGCCATGCGGGGCAAACGGAGACCTTCGGCGTTTTGAACCACTGCAATACGGCGGCAGCTGCTGCAAGTCACCTTGATGCGATCCAGAATTTGATGGCGAAAAGACGACTGCTAGTCTGAAAGATGCCTTAAGTTTCAGGAGTGGTAGGAGACAGTTGCCTTTGAAGCCTCATGCTTTCTGTTGGGTCTTTGTATAGAATCCACCAAGTAGCTGGTGGCAGCTGTCAAGAGCAAGCCATGGACGAAGCTCTTTGTCTTGCTGAATAATTTTGTTGCAGCGACACTGGGGAACATATGATCATACAAAAGACCATCAGCACTCGATAGGACAGTTGACACCTGTCCTACATGTCCCCCCAGTTCTGAGTTGATCCAGCGAATGAGCAGGAAAAAAACTTTTGAGACTCGAGACCCTCCAGGGAAAGGAATTTATTGATGTGTGATAATAAGGTGGGGAAGCAGATGAAAGCGGAATATACTTCAAGCAGCACCAATCAGTGCATCAAATCATGCACACAGCCGTTTGGACCAGGAGGTCTAAGGACACTGTGTTGCTTGTCATTGTGCCCATACTATTTCGCCCAAGTTCGGAGAGCCACTGATGCTTCTGTTGAATGGACCTCTGAGAAAGGGTTGTTGCAATTTATTCGCGTGATCGGAACGATATGAATACTATGGCAAATTGCCGCCGCTACCTTTTGCTCAAGGCTTTGCTAAACCCCACAGAGGGTGCAGTGAAAGGGCTAAAGTGGCCCAATATGCCGGGCAATCATGACTGAACACCTCAATGGTCCAGCCTAGCTAGGGACACCGAGGCCTGTATAGGAGTTTAGGATGTTTTCTCAATATCATCACTTGGTGAAGATAACATGTCCGAAAGGCAACAACTTGTGCCCAAGTGTACCGCTGGCCTTCGATATTGGAAAAGCCCTGACACTGTCCGGTGACTAGCTGGCCTCCCATGCTGCACCACGGCCATCTCACAGTGGTTTGGCAACCAGAGCCTTGAAAGGGTCGATGATAAGTACAAGGTATGTGAAGAAGAAGCACCGTAGAAGATTGAATGCTGATTGAACATTCCAACACATCAGCCATTTGAGCCAAGGGAGGCCGGCCGTAGGAGTTGCAGTCGCCTTACGAGCGGCTTGCGGTGCCACTGCCGTGTCTTTCACTCTCCATGGCACAGACAGGACACCGGGGAGTCATTCATACGGACCCCATAGCTACAAGTTGAAGGGAGGGATCCTACTCTTGAAGGGGTTTGGACTGGGGATTGGGCGGGTTGGGTGGGTTGGGGGCCATTGACACACTCTGACATTGGTTTTCAGTTACACTCAGTTCCCACGCTGGGAAGGAAGGTGAGGGAACGGAAAGGCTGCACAAGTCCGAGTAACTGAATGTTGAACAAATGTTTCTCAAAAATGCGCAAGCGAAGCGGCGGCAGCAGCTGCAATGCGGACAGAAACCTGTTTGACGGTGGTAGAAAACCTAAACACCTCCTGGAACAACATCAGGTACATGAACCACCATGAAACAAACCAAGGGACCACAGCAACCAATCAACAGTTTAACAATAGCAGTTACGTTTTCACCTCCCTGGCGCGCGGTCTTCGTTGGCCAGGACGCGCGCCAGGGAGTCCTGGCCCCCTGCATGGAAACTGCACAATGAAAATTCAGTGCCCCTGGATACGGGGGTTGACACACACAGTATGCCGTGAGTCGGCGCTTCTGGAGAGAGGCGTGGCGGTCAATAGCTTGCTTGCTGGCTTGCTGTCTTGCTTGCTTGGCTACTGGCTTGCAGTGCGGGAAGTGGGTGAAGTGGGGAGGCATGTAGGCTTGTGGGAGTGCATGTTGAAAGGGCGTGGCGGTGACATGGTTGGAGCTTGTGGTGGATGAGGTAGTAAAGTAGGAAGTGGTTGTGGTGGTGGTGGTCGTGGTGGTGGTGGTGTAGTAGGTTGCCAATTGCAGTGGAGCTGGTGATGTTGTCAGAAATAGGACCTGACGTCTGTAAACGTCAATGAAATAATTGCTTGCTTGCTTGCTTGCTTGCTTGCTTGCTTGCTTGCTTGCTTGCTTGCTTGCTTGCTAGGCGTTTTCTGTGTTTGTGGAAAGTGTCTCATATTGCGCCACAGTCTGGGGTGTGGAGAAGGAGCTGTGTAATTGATGGCCGTGGAGCGGTGTGGTGGATGCAGTAGCACGGCTGCTGGTTTGGTTGGATTTGTTTACATTGAGCCGGAGTAACAGTGGTCAGACTGACATGTCCCCGATTCGAAAAGGAAGTCGGCTGCTTGTTGTCAAGGAGAGGGCAGAGAGGAGAGTGAAGATGCGAGAGGCGAGGAGGGAGATCTGTTTGCGGTGTGTGGCTGGAGAAGTTGGTGGTCGGCGATGATGTGTGAAAATCAATCAGCGAAAGTCCCAGGCACGTAGGGTGTAGAGCCTGGTGTATGGAAGGGGGAAAGTTGTAGGCCATTCTTGTTTGTTGCCCCATCGAACCGGAGTAACAGCGGTCAGACTGACATGTCCCCGGTTCGAAGGAAGGGCGGTCGGTTGCACGGCCGTTGGTGAATTGAGCGGTTGGGAAATAGAGGAAGAGTTTCATAGCGTTGGGAGGATGATGCTGCTGTGTTGGCTGTGGTGGTTGGTGGGGAGGTCGTGTAAGCGCGAAGCGGCTCGGCAGCGCGGCAGCTCAGCGCAGGTAAACGGCAGGTGTGAAAAGACCTGAGTAGCAACCTAAAAAGCCTTAGAAAAGAGAAGAACGAAAGACAGAAAGAGCAAACAGAAGAGGGCAAGAGAGAAAGATAGGTGTAGCTCCGTGCACATCTGTCGAGCAAAAGTGCCGAATGAACGGCCAATGAGGGAGTGAGACCCCTGCACTCTTGAATTTCCGCATGCAAAAATTCCGAGGAAAAGAAAGAGCGAACCGAAAGGCGAAAGGTCGGAAGACTTGAAGGTGTTTGAACACTTGTTTGGCGCAAGTCTGCAGTCCCTATGCATTAGCCGCTTTACTGAACCTAATCAAAGGACTGCCGTATGAGCCCGGCGGCTCGCCCCTGCGTGGAAACTGCGCAATGAAAATTCAGTGCCCCTGGATGCGGGGGTTGGCACACAGTATGCCGTGAGTCGGCGGCGCTTCTGGAGAGAGGCTTGGCGGTCAATAGCTTGCTTGTTGGCTGTCTGGCTTGCTTTCTTGCTTGCTTGGCTACTGGCTTGCAGTGCGGGAAGTGGGTGAAGTGGGGAGGCATGTAGGCTTGCCGGAGTGCATGTTGAAAGGGCGTGGCGGTGACATGGCTGGAGCTTGTGGTGGATGAGGTAGCAAAGCAGGTAGTGGTCGTGGTGGTGATGGTGGTGTAGGTTGCCAATTGCAGTTGCCAGAAATAGGACCTGACGTCTGTAAATGTCAATGAAATAATAGATTGCTTGCTTGCTTGCTTGTTTGCTTGCTTGCTAGGCGTTTTCTGTGTTTGTGGAAAGTGTCTCAAATTGCGCCACAGTCTGGGGTGTGGAGAAGGAGCTGTGTAATTGATGGCTGTGGAGCGGTGTGGTGGATGCAGTAGCACGGCTGCTGGTTTGGTTGGATTTGATTACATCGAACCGGAGTAACAGTGGTCAGACTGACATGTCCCCGATTCGAAGGAAGTCGGCTGCTGATGTGAGAGGCGAGGAGGGAGATCTGTTTGCGGTGTGTGGCTGGAGAAGTTGGTGGTCGGCGATGATGTGTGAAAAACGATCAGCGAAAGGCCCAGGCACGTAGGGTGTAGAGCCTGGTGTATGGAAGGGGAAAGGTTGTAGGCCATTGCTCTTTGTTGCCCCATCGAACCGGAGTAACAGCGGTCAGACTGACATGTCCCCGGTTCGAAGGAAGGGCGGTCGGTGGTCGGTTGCGCGGCCGTTGGTAAATTGAGCGGTTGGGCAAAAGAGGAAGAGTTTCATGGCGCTGGGAGGATGATGCTGCTGTGTTGGCTGTGGTGGTTGGTGGGGAGGTCGTGTAAGCGCGCAGCGGCTCGGCAGCACGGCAGCTCAGCGCAGGTAAACGGCAGGCGACGGTGTCAAAAGACCTGAATAGCAACCTAAAAAGCCTTAGAAAAGAGAAGAACGAAAGACAGAAAGAGCAAACAGAAGAGGGCAAGAGAGAAAGATAGGTGTAGCTCCGTGCACATCTGTCGAGCAAAAGTGCCGAATGAACGGCCAATTAGGGAGTGAGACCCCTGCACTCTTGAATTTCCGCGTGCAAAAATTCCGAGGAAAAGAAAGAGCGAACCGAAAGGCGAAAGGTCGGAAGACTTGAAGGTGTTTGAACACTTGTTTGGCGCAAGTCTGCAGTCCCTATGCATTAGCTGCTTTACTGAACCTAATCTGTACGAAATTGGCTGATCAATGAATCCCGTTTTGTGGCCCGGCGGCCGTGGAAGCAGTAAATTCAGTGTGAGGGTTGATCACGTGGTGAATTCCTGTGAACGGTGGAAAAGCTCAGTTCACGATTTCCCGAATGAAACGGCGCCTCCTTGCGGAGGATCACACTCAGCACCCGAGTGGGACGGCTGAGCGAGACACACTCTGACATTGGTTTTCAGTTACACTCAGTTCCCACGCTGGGAAGGAAGGTGAGGGAACGGAAAGGCTGCGCAAGTCCGAGTAACTGAATGTTGAACAAATGTTTCTCAAAAACGCGCAAGCGAAGCGGCGGCAGCAGCTGCAATGCGGACAGAAACCTGTTTGAGGGGTGGTAGAAAACCTAAACACCTCCTGGAACAACATCAGGTACATGAACCACCATGAAACAAACCAAGGGACCACAGCAACCAATTAACAGTTTAACAATAGCAGGTACGTTTTCACCTCCCTGGCGCGCGGTCTTCGTTGGCCAGGACGCGCGCCAGGGAGTCCTGGCCCCCTGCATGGAAACTGCGCAATGAAAATTCAGTGCCCCTGGATACGGGGGTTGACACACACACACAGATGAACACCATTGAAAACCCATGAACTTACAAATTCGGCTGAAGAAATTGACAACACGTGGATCCATCACGTGCTGTCTTCTCATTTCTCCTGGCGACTTCCGAACTCCCTCAATTACTGTATGTAGTTAGCCTTGCTCTACCCTGCCCGCGTGGCAGACATTG